GATAATTTTGTATCTTTTATGCCACTTTCCAACTGAAAAAAATTGTACATCCTTTTGCAAGCCATTGCAGTTATTTACTCCATTAGTCAGACTATTTTGAAGTTTCAAACACCATCTCCTTGGTTTTCAGATGAAACACAAGACATCTTTTAGGAGTATGCATTTTAGTCACTTGTGGAACAAATGATTTTGTTTTCAAGGATGCACACTTATCCTAGAGTGTAAACAGAGGATTTTGGAGTCTCTGTGATGGTCTATTTTCATACATCATTGCACTAATTTCTCTTTCCCCACTAGAAGAGTGAAAAATTGATGTAGTGCAAATTAATGACTAAGAGTTAATTTGAGTTGTGTGAGCATAACTTGAAAATTATTTTACAGGGAAATCCACGAGGATGAAAAAGTAGAGCGAGCATTGACTGATGGTGAGTACAACTTTCAGAGGATGGTGTTGATGTTGTCCATGGTTGTATAGTTCCACTTACACGTATATTGTACTTGAAAAAGCTTACTTTATTTGTGTTGATTGATATATTACACATAGTAAATGGTTTGAATGCAGAGGTAACATGTAATAGTGTTGTTTGATCATCTGGGTGAGTGAAGTCCTGAGAAAGACTGGTATCGGTAGTGGTGACTATTTGTGACTGTTTAGGTTCAGTCAGTCTAGTTGTGAGGTTTCTGCCAGTCTCACCGATGTGGGATGCATGGCAGTCAGAGCAATTGATCTTATACACTGCTGATTGGTTAGGTGAAGTCTTTCCAACTCAGTGAAATTCTAGAGCATAGCTCAGTTTACAAAGCATGAGTAGACTTTAGGTTGCAAGTTCCCTTGAGTGTAGGGCTGAACCTTTGAAAGTAACTTACTGGCAAATTTTGTTTTCTCTGTTTCCTGGGAAGTTTTTTGGTAGCCATTAACATTGCTAGGTTGAAAGAGGCATTGTGAAATTTAAGTGTCATGTCCATGAACACAGCTTTTAATAATACCCATGATGATGATGGTGATATTATTAGATATTGTTACATTTTGTTCCACACTGATATTTCTTTGTATTTCAAAAGGTATAGCCACAGTACCTGAAAACAGCTGGAATCAGAGACCAGATTACACCAAAGTTGCATTTTCAAGATTTTATTGCTAGCAGCAGTAGTCTCAAGTGACAATGAATTTTCTTCAGATGCTGATTAAAATGTTTGAGCCTTTTCAAACTGTTGTGTTAACCTCTTTCAGCAGCAAGCACAGTCTCAAGCAACGAACTGTAGAAATTAGGCTAACGTTTTAGACTGTTGTCAAAGATTTTAGCAGTTGTAACATCTTTCAATTTTGGTGCATTTTGTATTTTATGGAATTCTCTGATTGATAGCAGAATAATTTTGATTTCAACGGTCGGATAGTTTTGTACTTTAGACATTGACAGGGAGGTGTAGCGTCACAGTTCTCATCCGAACACATTTTCTAGTTTCTGGTTTTCAAACTTTTTATTAGGAATAGTCGAGAAGTTGATAATGTTTTTTTGTTCCTTTTGATGTGAAAGGCTTTCATGTACACTGTGGTCTATGAGGGGCTACTTATTTTTATCAAACTTAAGCTGTTTTTGAGGAAAAACCACTCTTAACCATTTAATCCCTGAGTAGCCAGCGTCTAATTTCTCCTTACAATAATACTGGTGAATCATTCATTTAGATCATGAGAATAAAGGAAATGATCACAACCTAAGAAGCTGTGATTGGTAAATGAATTCTCCTTGTCAGTATCAAAGGAAATGTATAGAGAAGAGTAAGAAGAATATGCATACTGATGTTAGGGTGGAAACGCTTAACAATGTTCTATTTAGCCTTTAAGTAGGCCCCCATTATAAATGCTGCAGGATGCACATTTCTCTCCCCACAAGATTTGAGACAAGTCAGGGATAGGTTTGCCTCATTCTCAGTACTCAATCCCTTGAAGACCTCTTGCCAGCTCCAGTCGCTGAAGGCCTCATACTTTCCCTGTGAACTTGTGCTGAAATGGCCTGCTCACAGGCTATCTCCTATTTGGCCAAATTAAGTGTTTTATTTGAATATTGATTAGTGTGAACATTTCAAAGAAGGCTGGCATCTAACACTTCATAAAATAATCTAATTTTTCACTTCAAACAAACCACTTTTAAAGAAATTTGCTGGTCCATAAGTTGTTTAAACCATAGCTTGAGCCAGACTTCATTTACATGTACATCCTACAAAGTTTCGCATTACCTTTGTGGAAAGGTCAGAACATTTAATCTTGACATGAGTAGATTACTGGTTTAACCAGCACTGCTGAGCTTTGCTTGATATTTCTGTGCTTAGAATGATTATGAGATGGTTACAATATGGATTAAAAAATTATTTAGATTCTTTTTCTTTGCCTTAATGCTTTCAAAACTGTCCCATTTTAATTAAAATAAATTACTTAATTTATCAAATTGGGTTCTAGGCCCCTATGGTGTCTGGTACATAGCTGCTAAAGGGTCATAGTCTTTGAAAGGGTTGGTTTTACAAGCCTTGGTTAGAGCAAGACAGGATTAATTTTTTGGACTTTATCTTGCATTTAAATGTTTGGACAGCAGGCAGTGATTTTTGACACACCTCCAAATTGCATGTGTGTTCAAAAGTAACAGAAGTGTTGTGAACTTGAGGTTGAAGGGTGATACATGAAGAACTATTTTTTTGAAAATTAATGTTAGTTTAGGTTAGGTATAACACTAAAAAAATGTGTATGATATTCATAAATATCTATATCTTACACTAAGAGGTTAACAATATACAGATCAAATAGAACTTTCAATAAAAAATATTTTTACAAGTTGGTGGTACATTCTCTGTTCTTGTTTAGGGTATCACACCATTATTGTTTTTCCATTCAGAAAAAGAACACTCTGCAAAAATGCCCTTCAACTTCATACACAAGTGTGTTTCTTTGTTCAGTTGTCGGACAGGAAAAATATGTTTTGAGTCTGTAAGAAGAGATCAGGGCCACAAATAATACCCACAATTTGGGCCACACTCACAGATACTGGCTCCCTTAAAATTTTTCAATGCACTAATGGGAACATAGCAGTTTTGCATGAATCTGCTCTAAATATCAGGTAAGAGGAGTTTCTAGAAGCTGAAGCTGAATTTACTCTAGTACCTAAGTGGTGAGAAATAATTTATTTTTAAATATAAAAATGTCTCTACTCTTCACTTGGGCCTTTGCTACTCAGCCAGATTGAGCTCTTTGCTTCTTTCCTTGTCTATAAGTTCAAGCTCCCTTATTTTCTGTAAGTATAAGATTAAAAAAAACACAAATACATTATAACACTGCCAGAAGAGATTTGAAATGCTGGAAATGCTAATTTTGACTAAACCACTCTATTAAACCTGCCAAAAGTGTTTGATTAATTCCATTCATCCACTAATTTACCTGTGATATCTCTGTCATTATTATGGTTCTATATTTCTTTCCTTCTCCAAGAGCCTCCATCTCATCTAGGAAACTTTTACGATCTTCTATTTCCTGAAGAACTGTACCAGGAAAAACCAACACATTACTAAATGAATGGTTATGAACTACGCCACAAACACCCTAGGAATCAGAGGATGAGATTTTGGAGAAAACATTGTGGTGATTGTGGTGATTGTGGTCAACTACAATTTACATGAAATAAACTCAGATGTGAAGATATATGCCGAAGTAATCTTTTTAAAACAATTATTATCATATTGACCCTCAAGATTGCTTTGAATATGAGAGTAGACAGCCAACAGGAGTCCAAGAATGCTGTTATTCATTTGTTTTGTAGTTTGTTTGTTTTCTATTTTACTCAACATCTGTCAACATTTAGGGTGTGCTTACTCTCATCAAATCTATCAACTTCTTTTTCTGGTGCCATTTCTTTGGGTGGTGGTCTTCTCTGTGTTGGAACATCTTCTATGTCCTTCCCATGCTCGCCATATGCCATCACATTCTGAAGTCTCCTTTTATCTTTCTCTGAAATCAATTCTAGAAAAAAAAATTATCATTTTTTAATTAGACCCAGAATAAAAGGTTGAGTCTTCCACTGAATTTCAAGATCGACTTGGGTCAGCCACTTTCGCATAAGACTTAACCCTTTAACTCCCAAGATCTGATTGTTAATTCTCCCCTGTGGCTGCTACACATTTCCTTGTAAATTAGTTATGAGAACTTAGTGCAAGATCAAGATAGCAGCTTCTACCTGACAAGTTTGAATATTCTCATAACCTGTTGGCTGAAGAATGTATGGATATTGTAGGGAGAAGTTTTATGTTAATCACTTCTGGGAGTTAAAGGGTTAAGGGAACTTGCCTGATTAGGACAAGTTCCTCCTGCTTGACCCTAACCTTTATTTTCTGACTAATGTCAGCTGAAAATTTATCCTTAAACGAACTGAAGAAAATTAGTTTCTGGTTGGGAAACAAGCCCACAGAGAAGCTCCTTGTTTGTTTTCTAATAGGTGGCCAAGGCTTTTACAGCAAGCCAGCAAGTAAGAGAGGGAATGATGCTTCATTTAACCTAATCTTATCCATTCATTACTACTAGCTTTACTACTGACCAGAAATCTAGACAGCCTGCTCAGAAGAATGGCAAGGTTAACAAGTCTAGGAAAAGACTGCCAAGGACAAAGAGCAAGTTGAACATACTTCCCGGAGCTGGTCGATAAATCTGCTGTGGTTCCACACTCTTTTGTATATCAATTGTCTCCTTTGTCTTCTTTCCTCCCGAAAGGTGTCTTGCATTCATCACTTTAGGTAATGGTTTTTTGGATGCACTTGTTAGTTGTACTCTGCTTTCATTTCTACTTGTTGTGGGGTTACAGGCAACAGGTAGAGATTGACCCTCTAAAAAAATTACACAAATATAGTGATAAGTTCTTAAAATTTTGAAAGACCTTTTCCATTCCATTGATGAAATGAACTGTCTGACTATCATGATCTGAATTGAAACCCTCCCTTTTAGCCACTATACATTTATTTCTAACCAAGTTAGGAGAATTCAGTCATTGTTATAGGATGTGTAGGTGACTGTGTGGTACCTTAACCCTTTACACCCTAACATCAGTATGCTTATTCTCCATACTGTAATCTATAAATTTCCCATGGTACACAAAAAGAGAATTTCCTTAAAAATCAAGAATTTCTTTGGTTATTGATCATTTTCTCTATTCTTATGACCTTTATATTTGATTTAGTGGTGACACTGTAAAGAGAAATAAGATCCTGGTCACTCTTGGGGGTTGAAGGATTGACATGAATTCCTCTAGCTGATCAGTTTGTAATAATTAATCATCACCTGTTTAACATATTGACAATGAAATATGAAGTTGTATGTTACTTGCATCTGGGAGCAAACAAACTTAAACTTGAAATTAAAAATATCGTCATTGAAAAAGAAACGTATACAGAAATAACAAACAACTACCTTAAGATGTTAACCCTTTGACTCCCAGAAGTGATTCACATGTAACTTCTCCCTACAATATTCATGCTCTATCCAGCAAACAGGTAATGGGAATATTCAAAGGTATCAGGTAGAGGTTGTTATCTTGATCTAACACCAAATTCTTGCAACTAATTTACAGGGAAATGTTGAGCAGGTAGAGGGGAGAATTAACAATCAGATCTTGGAAGATAAAAGGTTTAAGTTTTTTAAACGCCAAAGAAAATCTTGAAAGCATCGGATAAGATATCTTGATCACATACGACTTCTAGAACGTAAACTCATAAAAATTTAAAGGAGGAAAACATCTTGATATATCTGCCTGGAGACAACACTCACTTTTCATGCTGTCTTGCAACTGTCTTCGTTGAAAGTTCGTCAACTTCGATTCTTCCATCATAACTGTCAAAGAAGAGTCTCGGTCACGAAATGACAACAGAAGTTTTAAAATCTTTTAGGACATTCTCTGATAAGATTATAACTACCTTTTAACAGATTTTGAGTCTCCTTGCTGACTGGAGCTGACTGTGATGACCACAAACCACCTTTAGCAACTGGTTGTCTGTTCGACGCCATGTTTGTTTCTGTTGTTTCTAAGTGAGTCCGCATGCACTGCTAACTAGCGGT